CAATATTTAATATTTATTTGCTACGTATATGTAGGAATGTGGGTCTATACATATGTTGTTCATAGTATGTTTATGTGTGTGTCATGTATGTGTTTCACTTTGAGAGTGGGCAACTAAATTTCATTTTTGATGTGTGCCTTTGTGCCCACAGTATAAAAATGACAATAAAGGTTATCTTATCTTAATTTGAACTGCTGTTAAACAATAATTTTGAAGTGTTGTTTTATTTTTGGATGTAAGTTAGAAATTGCCTATTATCACAATGATTTTATTAAAATGGGAATCTACCCTGCTTTGGCTCACCTTTAATATTTGTGGATTGATTTTCAGCTGAGACTTTTATAATTTGTTGCTATGTAGGCTGTTATCTCAGGTCTCAGATACATAATAAAACTAGTGAAATAGTGATGTTATTTTTGTTTTATAAAATGTTTTATAATGCTTATTAAAATTTTGGTAAGTAATCATAAGGAATATGTTAACCATTCCCTTCCTTTTCAAACATACTGCTATTGGTCTGGAATGGATATTGTTCACACGTAGTGTGTTTCAACAGATTTATGGCTTATAAAATGGATGGAAGAGCTCTAGACAAAAACAAAATAATTGAATTCCACAGCTGCAGATGAAACCAGCTTGCCGTATTGGTAAATGAGTGTGTTCAAGAAGAAGACTGTCAGTAGTTACTTACCATATGCTACTATGTAAAGGAAGTACACCTAACAGGACAAAATTTAGTATCATCTTCAAAGCAGTATAAGTAATTTTGAAAATATGTGAATCCTAAAGGTATGGATATGCCATGAATGTTTAAATCCCATTTATTTCTCTTGGTTGATTAGATGTAAAGTCTAACATGCAAAGTTCAAATTTATTTCAAAACTCCATTATTATACACAGCTGCTGTTTTAGCAGCTCCTTTTGCCTCCAGCATGTGATTAAATAGATCAGCAGAGTTCCATCTAGGAAATAAAATATTTTGCACAACAGGTGACAGTCATATATTGTGCATAGGGAGATGGTGCAGTTTTATGAGAACCATAAGGTTATAGTAACTACTGTGAGCATTTGTTCCCTCCTCCTCACCCCCTTTTTGTTTTTATCTTGGGACTTATTTTGCTCACAGAAATGGAGAAGTTATTACAGCTTTTGAAAATTATTCAACCTTCTGACCCAAGAAATCTTGTGCTGTCAAGCAAGTTTGCATACAGCTGGTCAGAGCACATATACAAGGATCATAGAAGGTTTCAGTTTTGCAAACTACTGAATAGCAGTTGCTTGCATGGTAATTAGTGATTCCCACCCTGATCTCCCTTTTTGTTACTAGCAGCTTTTAATAGCCTAAGTTGTTCGTTATATTTGCAGTTGTTTAAAAAAATTGTAGAAGTTATTCTGTGTCATTAATATATGCAAACTATTTAATTTGGTCACTTTTTTTATAAATTATATATTTTGAAGAAAATCTTTACATTTGCAGAATATCCAGAGAAGAAAGATAAGTAGTTGTAAGTCATGTCTCCCAGCACCTACTAATATAGGCAAATTATGCACTCTAGTTTATCAATACCATTCAGACGTGCATATCCAATTTAGGAAATGATGATTTACAATTATTATATGCATGTATATTGCTTGTATTGCTAAAGCAGACCAAATTAAACCATATTATTGTTTAGCATAAGCAAAGGAAACAGTAGAAATGAGAAAAGTTTTCTGATAGTTCCATTTTAAATTTCCTTCCTTCCTTCCTTCCTTCCTTCCTTCCTTCCTTCCTTCCTTCCTTCCTTCCTTCCTTCCTTCCTTCCTTCCTTCCTCCCTCCCTCTCTCCCTCCCACCCACCATAGGGGCTAACCTGTATTGGTGAATGTGCATACACGTACATGTCCTTTAATAACATTATTTTAAAGGTCTATTTGAAAACTTAAAAATTCCTATTCTACAGACTTTCTATCAAAGGAGTTTGTAATTACTTTACACCTTAAATCAGGGGGGAAGAAAGAGAGAGAAGGTGGCAAGGAGCATCATGCTACTTTTTCCAGGTTTCCCATTGACTTGTAAGAAGCTGCCCAGGAACATTGAAAATAGAGATCACATGACCACATCTGAGCGTAATGGCATGATGGTGGCATTGGACAGCAGCAGCCCTGCAGTGGCAAAGTATTTCCCAAATTACATTCCCTTGAGAGCAAAGGATCCCAGCATTCTGTAAGTCAGCCCATTTGAGGTTCCTTTGTTAACAAAGTTTTGCCCTATGATCAAAGGCTACAAAATATTAAACAGACAAAGGAGTTTTGATAGTATATAGATGATACAATATATTGTTTGCTCTTTCCATATAAATGATATAATTTTTCTCATTCAAAATATTTCATTTCTGTAGCTATAATTTCACATATTGCTGGAGCTAAGATAATCTTTACTATCATGCTGTGGTTGATGTATTTCTTCCTTTTCCTTCTTTTTTTCCCCTCCCTCGAGGTATAGACAAGGCAAAGACTATGCTTTTATACTGAAACTTCAGGTGGAATGAAGTGGTTATAAAAGCATCTATCAACACAGCAAGAGCTTGCCAAGCCAAGTATTTGGGTTGGAAGTCATACCTTCTCAACTGCTTGAAAACAGGAAGTATCTTTGTTAAATGATGGTGTTTTGCTACTAGAAATAAAAGAACATTTAACAAAAAGTGTGTATTCCATAATTAAGGATATTGGATGATAGTCCTAATATGTGATTGTATATGTATCTGTGTACTTGCACATTGTGAATCCATTTACCTTTTTCATTTTACTAAAAATTTCTGCACTTTATATACAAGCAGTCCCTGTCAAAAGCCAGCCCAGACACATCTTAGCCTTGGTGATTCCTATAAAGCACTCAGAATCTGTCAGAAACTGCCTGCAGGATTGCAACGGCTCCTGAGTGATTAATTACCAGCAAAGTCTGGTTCCAGGTTTCATTACATATAATTGTTGTTTTCTCTCAGAGGGGTTCTTTAAACCCCCCCATCTGAAAAGTGTAAAAAACAAATTCCTGGGTTTAGTACTTCTTTGCAAGGAAACTACTGTAGATGATTCAGTCTGTTATGTAAATGAAGGTTGGTTTTTTTTACAGTTTGTTATTTAGCTGTTAATAGATTCACTCCACCCGACTGAGTTCATTTGAAATACTTAAAAATCATTTTTGAGAAGTCAGGAATGGATTTGTGTCAAGAACTCCAAGCTGGGATTTCTTTCCTCTGTTAATTGCTGAAGCAGCTTAAGATAATTAACTGAGAAGGCATGTTGCTCTAAAAGAAGCTGAATTCGAAGTCTCTGGAAATGTGTTTCCTTATACACTGACCACTTACATTCCTATGGTTTTTTTATGGATCTGTACATTTACAATTGGCACCTGCATTTTTGAACCTAAGGACTTATACAAGTTTCTTCAGACTTATAGGGTAGGAGAAGTGAAGATGAAAAGAAATTGTAATTTCAGGTGGTAGTCAACAGCATGCTTGTTTCTGCAAATGTTCTTGTGATGCTTTGAGTGCCTTTGTTTTCCTTTAATACAAAACAACATTCAAAAATCCTTCCAGTTGTAGAGAACTTTAGAAAAATATATTTGCATTGCTGGTCCAAATTAAAGTGACTAGTAAAACATGTTATTTTTGTTATGACACAATCAGACATAACTAAAGACCCACTATATTTAGCCACCGTTCCTGGAACTATATATAGTACAGGAAAATTCACAGCATTCCCATTTTAAAAGTGTATCATCTAAACTGTAAAATAACTTAATTAAACTAGCATTTTTCTTTGTTTTCTAAGTTTTTCAACATTATTAGGCCAGAAAATGAAATAATGTCCTATTCGTAACAGGTAGCAGAAGTTTTTCTTAAAATAAACAAGCAAACAAATAAATTATTTGGCAGTTTAACTTCATATACATTTACCAGATAACCAGCCCTCCCTTAATTGGCTGGATTTTTAAATTATAAATGTGTACTGTTTTATACTATACACATATATGACTGAAATTGTCTCACTTCTGCTTAAATTTATTCTTAAATGAACCCACTTTAGGAAGGACCCTGCATATGTATATGTTGTAATAGTCAGACAGCTGTCTGCCTACCCTGGAGAATATATATCATGGGAAATAAAGTTGTCTCTTAGATTCTTTAGCTTACAAAATTAATCAAGAAAGTGAAAGGATGGTAAATCTGTTTTGAAGTGTCCTGCAAGAAAATAGCTAGATCACTGATTTCTCACATTCTTTATTTTATTCTTGGGAAGGAATTGACAAAGATGAAAATGAATATGATAAGAGTTCAATAAGTCAATTTGTAGTATATCTGATGGAAGAGTATCAGAGTTATTGTATGATATAAAAAATGAAACAAACCGTATGGTGAGAGACAATGAAATCTAATTCCAATATGGAATGCTTAGAGACAGGAACTGAGGTTTCTAGGTAAACATTGAAGATTTTTAAAAAATAAAAAAGAGAAGAACTGTGCTTTTGAAATCCACTCAGATTGGTAACTGTAGTCTTACAAATAATAGTTTCTAGCTGTATTTTACATTTAAAGTCATATGCATGTTTATGCTTCATGGGTTCATTAAGGGTAATATCGGTGTTCTAATGACACAGTTACTATATAGATTTAGAACTGAAATACTGATCTTTTACTATAGCTGCTAAGAGAATTTAACTGGTATAATTTATAATGAAGTATATTATTTTATTTGATCAACTAGAATAAAAATGTTTTTAAACTTCCCAAGGTACAGGTAATCCCCGAGTTACGAGTGTTCACTTAATGCTCATTCAAAGTTATGTGATGAGCGCCCTAACTGCTTATGAGCAAGTCCCGAAATTACGAATGCTGTCGCACCACGGCAGTCATTTGCCCTTACAAGCGACTGCAATGGCTCTGCAACACTCACCCTGGTTATTCCCTCTCTCCCCACCCCCACCTGGGTCTCCCTAGGTGCCAGGCCTTCAATACTCACCCTGCGAAGATTGAGATCCTTTGCTTTCTTGGCTGCTCCAAGCCTTCAGTGCGTTCTAGAGAATAGAGGCCTAAAATAATGCAAGATCACGCGAGATCAGTGGGGCAAGATCTCACAAACAAAACCCATTTGTACAGTGCTTGTTCTTGTGACAAAATGCAAGGGAAATGTTGTTTAGATAAGGTGTACCTGCCTCTAGATCAGTCCATCAGCAAATTAGCAGCAAGGGTAGGTAAATTGCATAGGGAAATCAGTTAGGATTGATTTGCCTATTTTATTCAAGAGGGACACATTAATAGGACATTTCAGATTTAAATCATGTATTGCTATGCTTCTTTTTGAAAAAAAATTACAGAAGTGAAGGAACAGCAACAGATTAAATTGCATATGTATCTGTTTTTTAAATGAAACTCTGTGGTTTCTTAAATATATTTAAAATCAAAACAATTCAAAATTATTACATGTAATTTGAAAAAGGATGTTTTCAAACTTGAAGTAAAATGTCCTGAAGATTTAAAAAACAGTGCATTAGTAACTTTTGAACATCTTTTAAATTCAGAATCTGAAACAGTAAGAAATTTCAATTCTGTGAAATTATAACTTCATAGTTGGAGCCAAGGAGAAAAGCAGTTGGTTATAGCATTTGAGCACAAATGTGGTATAATGATTAATATATTAGATTTGAACTGGGGGGGGGTGAGGTTCCCATTTAACTGTGGATTGGGTAACTTTGGCTAGTTACTTACCTTTAGCCCAAAATGCTTGACTGTATTATTGTTGAAAGGAAACTTTAAGGAAGAGTTTTTGTTTACTGCCTTAAATATAACAGAAGAGAGAGAGAGAGAGAGAATTTTGATAGTGTTCATCAAATTGACATCCTCTGATTTCATGCTTCCTGCAAACTGGTCAAAGGTTGTGTTTACATAGAGTTATGTGAATTAAAGTCTAAAGAGCACCAGGTTGAATGCAGATACAGAAATCATTTTTATGTTACATTGAGGCAAGCCAAATACATACTTTTTAGATGTTTGTCCTTCCAATGTTAGATTTTACGCATTACAGAAGAAAACTATATTTAATTTATATGTTAGATATTCATATTCATCTCATATAAGTTGACCTTTTTGGATTCTCTTCAAAGAAATATCCTATCCTCCTGAATTGTCAAATCTTGTTGGAACTGCATCCCATCTGTTTCTTTTCTGCTTTATTAATCTGGGTAATATCCATATAAATGTTTATGCCTTGTCTATGCCTTACAAAGTACTGCCATTTGATATTGCAGATTCTTCCTGAACACCTGCTGTCAAATTCATCATGTCTTTTCTTGTCAGCTTGCACAACATTTTAGGTCTTGAGCAAGGTCTTGATATGATAGAAATGTTGTGCAGCCTGATTCTTAAAAACAGAATTTATATCTATTGCTATTTAAAATATTTATTTCTTAACATTACCTATTGGTCAATATGCCTAATATTCTGTCTTATCTGTAAGATCAGATTTGCTGTAATTTAGTGCTCTCAGAGCAATTTAGATTCAGACTATTCTACTCCATTCATGATGCTAAGCACTATTTTGCACAAACATCACCAGTGCAATTAGTTACTAAAAATACATGTATCTCTGAATTTTTTTCCTCTGGTGCTAATATAACTGGCACATTTTGATAATTGAGTTTTGACAAACGAAATAACATTTCCAGCTTTGTCATGGAATTTCATGGCATATAGTTTTTGGATGGGTCTCAATTGTCAGCAGGGACATTACTGAGAGGAATAAAATATATATTTCTGGCTCTAGATTAAACAGATCTATGCAGAAGGTTGATGAGTTCTTAGGCAACTGTGATACTGGGATTCTTCTCAATAAGATTCCATTGAAATTTAAGTGAACAGATATAAATGAATTTTTGGCTGACCTTAAGGTAGGAAATTACTGTTAAGAAGGGACTTAGGCAAGAGATTACACAATCCAAGGAATAATAAAAAAGAAACTCAAAATAACCCCAACCTTGACTTTGATTAGTATAAGCTGGAGAAAGGAACTTGACAGGTTTTCAATGTTCTATTATTAAATCAACAACAGTAATACAGCATTCCTGGAATCCCCACAATGTCTGTTGTTTACCTGTTTCCCCCTTAAAGGGTTAATATCAGTGTATCCCAATAGAAGACAATACATGTAACTCATTGTTGAATTCTGGAGTCCTTGGTACTCTGAGCTTGGTTGTTTGCTTGCACATATTTCACTATCCAGTATTATAGGTAAACGCTTGTTTCCCAACCATACCAGACCAGCATTTATGCTCTGCTACTGAATTGCAGGTTTTCTCATATATTTTTAAAGATGTTATTGCTGCCGCTGGAGGGAATAAATCCAAGCACACAACATACTTCTGGAGAGAATGCTGGGTAATATCCAAGGTGCTCAAGAATTCCAAGCAGCATCTTGATATAACTGTGATCTGATTGAACAATAAACTGGCAGTTACAGTGGGGCAAAAAAGTATTTAGTCAGCCACCAATTGTGCAAGTTCTCCCACTTAAAAAGATGAGAGAGGCCTGTAATTGTCATCATAGGTAGACCTCAACTATAAGAGACAAAATGAGAAAACAAATCCAGACAATCACATTGTCTGATTTGGAAAGAATTTATTTGCAAATTTTGGTGGAAAATAAGTATGTGGTCAATATCAAAAGTTCATCTCAATACTTTGTTATATATCCTTTGTTGGCAATGACAGAGGTCAAACGTTTTCTGTAAGTCTTCACAAGGTTGGCACACACTGTTGGCCCATTCCTCCATGCAGATCTCCTCTAGAGCAGTGATGTTTTGGGGCAGTCGCTGGGCAACATGGACTTTCAACTCCCTCCAAAGGTTTTCTATGGGGTTGAGATCTGGAGACTGGCTAGGCCACTCCAGGACCTTGAAATGCTTCTTACGAAGCCACACCCCGTTGCGGTGTGTTTGGGATCATTGTCATGCTGAAAGACCCAGCCACGTTTCATCTTCAATGCCCTTGCTGATGGAAGGAGGTTTGCACTCAAAATCTCACGATACATGGCCCCATTCATTCTTTCCTGTACACGGATCAATCGTTCTGGTCCCTTTGCAGAGAAACAGCCCCAAAGCATGATGTTGCCACCCCCATGCTTCACAGTAGATATGGTGTTCTTTGGATGCAACTCAGCATTCTTTCTCCTCCAAACACGACGAGTTGTGTTTCTACCAAACAGTTCTACTTTGGTTTCATCTGACCATATGACATTCTCCCAATCCTCGATCATCCAAATGCTCTCTAGCAAACTTCAGACAGGCCCGGACATGCACTGGCTTAAGCAAGGGGACACGTCTGGCACTGCAGGATCTGAGTCCCTAGCGGCGTAGTGTGTTACTGATTGTTGCCTTTGTTACGTTGGTCCCAGCGCTCTGCAGGTCATTCACTAGGTCCCCCCGTGTGGTTCTGGGATTTTTGCTCACCGTTCTTGTGATCACGTTGATCCCACGGGATGAGATCTTGCGTGGAGCCCCAAATCAAGGGAGATTATCAGTGGTCTTGTATGTCTTCCATTTTCTAAATATTGCTCCCACAGTTGATTTCTTCACACCAAGCTGCTTGCCTATTGCAGATTCAGTCTTCCCAGCCTAGTGCAGGTTTACAATTTTGTTTCTGGTGTCCGACAGCTCTTTGGTCTTCACCATAGTGGAGTTTGGAGTGTGACTGTTTGAGGTTGTGGACAGGTGACTTTGTTTACTGATAACAAGTTCAAACAGGTGCCATTAATACAGGTAATGAGTGGAGGACAGAGGAGCCTCTTAAAGAAGAAGTTACAGATCTGTGAGAGCCAGAAATCTTGCTTGTTTGTAGGTGACCACATACTTATTTTCCACCATAATTTGCAAATAAATTCTTGCCAGATCAGACAATGTGATTGTCTGGATTTGTTTTCTCATTTTGTCTCTCATAGTTGAGGTCTACCTATGATGACAATTACAGGCTTCTCTCATCTTTTTAAGTAGGAGAACTTGCACAATTGGTGGCTGATTAAATACTTTTTTGCCCCACTGTATATCTTCCAGCTTGTTGAGACTTTAAGGAAAAATTCTGATGGGTGTCTACACTGTTCTTGTTTAGTTTCTTTATTGAAAATATATGTGCTTTTGTTTTAAAAATAATAGGACATCTCTTAGCATGCCACATAGATTTCTTTTTCCACCTGAAAGTACTCACAATGGCCTTTTTAAAGAAACTCAAGGAAGGGTGTTAACTTGATCAATGCTGTGCAGGAAGGAAGGTATCTTCCTACTATTTTTCAGCATGACTTTCACTGACATGATCAGGCTGGGAAAAGTCTTATTGGCTGAGAGCCCAGGACAACCATGCAATATCTCTAGTCAACTGGAACTCAAACTATCCTGCCTAAGGGAAAAGTAGAACATAAAAAACAATTTGGGATACATACTGTGGCTTAAATGCATCCAGCTGAAAATATATGTAGAAATTTTAAATCTGCAGGCAAGCTATTTTTTTAAAGAAATGTTAGTGTAATGTATAATAAAATATTTTTGTTATATAAATGTTAATGATTAAAAAGGGGTCTTTGTTAGCCAATAATATAATCATATTTTTGTATTATTCTAAGGATTAAATAACAGTTTCTGTTAGGAATATAGTATGTAATTGAATATGTGGAACTCAAAATTTAACTAACGTTCTGTGATCTGTCCAATAAATAGTGGCTTCAAAAGCCTTCTGAATAGGGAAGTGTAACCTTTCTTCTCTAGAATGAATTCCCTTATTTTTGTATCATTTGCAAAATTTATAATTATATTTGCTAACACTTAGCCTAACTATGTTGAATCCTGTAATATAACAGTAGAAACTTTTGTCTAGGTTGCTGCAGAATCATTGATCTATATTTTAATACTACATTTCAACTGGTTCTTTTCCTATAAGCCAACATTTTTAATCTTCTCTAGTCAAATCTCATTGGACATCTTGTCAAATATTTTGCTGAGCTCTAAGTACACAATGTCCATTACTTTTCTGTGTTCAATGAAACCAGTCAATATATCAAAAATATCTTGGTTTGACATGATTTAGCACATATTGATAAACCATTGCTAGTTTGCTTTTCTAAATGCTTACAGAATGACTACTTAATAGTCTATGGAGATTCTCAATCATCCAGTCATCCAGGTCATAATTATCCCAAAGATACTTTTTCACGAGGCAATTGTTCTTTTTTTTTTCCTTTGAAGATGTTTCACTTCTCATCCAAGAAGCTTCTTTAGTTCTGACTGGATGGTGGAAGAATGGAAGGATTTATACTCCTTGGCGCAGACTAATACCATACCAATAGTATGACAAAGAAGCAATGATGGTGCATTGGAATATCTGCTAAATATACCATTTTCTGGCAAATAAAAACTGGTGGGACCACAAAATTGTGATAAAAATAAAGAAGCTATAGAGCTCTAGGGCTTTATTATAATATTCAAACAGACAAGCACCTGCCACATAACAGCCCTTGCATATTTTATTTTGTATCATTTGGGGTTTAAGCTGCATTGTATTAGAGAAGTATACTACTTTTATAAGTAGTATATAAGTATTCATTTTATTTATTAACCTTTCCTGATATATTAATAAGTCTTCTTTATGACTTTGTTACTATAGGCATTGATACGGCCTGGTCGATTTGACAGAATTATATATGTTCCTTTGCCTGATGAAGCCACTCGCAGAGAAATCTTCAAAATTCAGTTTTGTAATATGCCAGTATCTTCTGAGGTCAATCTGGATGAGCTTGTCATACAAACAGAAAAGTATTCAGGAGCAGAGGTAATATTTTTCCTAAATGAAAACTTGAAACTGTTATGCTTTGTACTTTATTGTGTTCGTCCTTGTGTTGTTGCTGTTAGTTGCGAAGTCATGTCTGACCTGTCGCGACCCCATGGATAACGTTCCTCCAGGCTTTCCTCTTCTGGAGCCCATTTAAGCTCATGCCTACTGCTTCAGTGACTCCATCCAGCCACCTCATTCTCTGTCGTCCCCTTCTTCTATTGCCCTCAATCTTTCCCAGCATTAGGCTCTTCTCCAGTGAGTCCTTCCTTCTCATTAGATGGCCAAAGTACTTGAATTTCAACTTCAGGATCTGGCCTTCTAAAGAGCAGTCGGGGTTGATCTCTTCTAAGACTGACCGGTTTGAACGCTTTGCAGTCCAGGGGACTCGCAGGAGTCTTCTCCAGCACCATAGTTCAAAGGCCTCAATTCTTTGTTGCTCAGCCTTTCTTATGGTCCAACTTTCACAGCCATACATTGCAACTGGGAAAACCATGGTCTGGACTATACATATTGTTGGCAGGGTAATGTCTCTGCTTTTTAGTATGCTGTCTAGATTTGCCATAGCTTTCCTCCCCAGAAGCAAGCGTCTTTTAATTTCTTGGCTGCAGTCTCCATCTGGGTTGATCTTGGAGCCCAGGAAGATAAAATCTGTCACTACCTCCATTTCTTCCCCATCTATTTTCCAGGAAGTGAGAGTACCGGATGCCATGATCTTGGTTTTCTTAATGTTGAGTTTCAAGCTAACTTTTGCACTCTCCTTCTTCACCCACATGAAGAGGCTCTTTAGTTCCTCTTCACTTTCTGCCATTAGAGTGTAATCATCTGCATATCTTAGGTTGTTGATATTTCTCCTGGCAATCTTAATTCCAGCTTTTGATTCATCTAGCCCTGCCTTTCTCATGATGTGCTCTGTATATAAGTTAAATAGGCATGGTGACAGAATACAGCCTTGCCGGACTCCTTTCCCAATTTTGAACCAATCAGTGGTTCCGTGTCCAGTTCTCACAGTTGTTTCTTGACCCGCATATAGTTTCTCAAGAGACAAATAAGATAGTCTGGTACTCCCATCTCTTTAAGAACTTGCCACAATTTGTTGTGATTCACACAATCAAAGACTTTAGCATAGTCAATGAAGCAGAAGTAGATGTTTTTCTGGAACTCCCTAGCTTTCTCCATGATCCAGCATATGTTGGCAATTTATCTCTAGTTCCTCTGCCTCTTCGAAAATTCTTCCTTGTAATACAGTGAATTAAATGAATATTTGTGCATTCACAAATTGTTGTAAAATCTACTATATCTTGATCAGCCTAACCTCAGCTCCTCCTACTCTTCAAGGAACTGCCATTTGCGTCAACAGGATTTCCATATAGCAGTTAATAGAAACATAATATGAAAATGGTGCATGCATGCAGTGCTTTGTTCTGTGAGTTCAGTGCGTATGAACTGTTTTTGCATAAATTCTTCAGTGGACAATGCATAACTTTAATCACTTTTCAAACATCCAAATGTGACATTTGTTTTTAGACTGTTGCAGTCCTATAACAGAAGCGTAATCTCTTTTCAAAGGAAAATCTAAATAAAAATAATGGGCTAAAGAAAAGACTTAAAACATTTTTAAATGTTGGCATTTTGCAAGTGTACAATTTTTACCCTTGTTTAAACATTTCACATACAAAAAAGTACTATCAGTGTTTATTTTTATATCAATGAATATGCGCTTAAAACCAGAGCCTTCTGATTTAATTAACAAATATTTGGAATATTTGAATAATTGAATATTTTCAGGTTTCCAATATTTGATTTTCTTTTTTTAAATGCAACTTGCATTATAAGGTCTCCAGATGTCAGGTAAAAAGGTCTTTTAGAAGTATTTTAGAAGCTTTTGTAGTTATTTCTATTTTAAATTTTACACTCTAGCTGTGATTTCTAATGTTTCCCTTAATTTAAAATGCTTTAAAGTCAAACTGATTTATAGATTTGTATTCAGTAGCTGATGTGCCATATCCTTTTTTAATTCTTTCCAATACAATAGAATGCTGGAAAGAAATGTTTTTCAGTTCTGGCTTTAAATCACGTGTCACATTTGTGAGATAGGTGGCTATAAAAATTTGATGAATGAATGAATAATAAATAAATAAAAATGCTATCTCAAATTTACCCATAGAATATGGAATGGGGTTTTTTTTCCCTTGCTGCTGCTCCTGCTTTTCTCTATATTCATAACAAATTCATCTCTCTTGTATAAGTAGAAAATAAAATTATATGAATCCTGATAGATGCTGTATTGCTAATGTTGTTGTTGGAAATTGTCTTATCCAGAAAGAATAATATAGCAACAACAGCAATAATAACTGCAGCAATAAAAGAGTGAACATGGATGAAATATTTCTTGGCCTAATCAAATCTTGTGTCTTTTTAAAAGATAGGAACATACAGTAGATTAAACTATTTTTGTGTGCCTTCAAATCAATGTTGACGGTCAGCTGCCTGGAGATATCACTGCAGTTTCTTTGGCAATATTTCAGAATTGCCCCCTTCCTAGGGCTGAGAAAGATTGACTATTGCAGTGGTTCTCAACCTTTTTAATGGCGTGACCCCAACTGGTCATAAGTTGAGGACTACTCAACCGGTTGTAAGTCGAGGACTACCCAACCAGTTGTAAGTCAAGGACTACCCAACCAGTTGTAAGTTGAGGACTTTCCCTGCCCGGGAGCACCGCGCATGCGTGGTGCTGCCCCCTGCACCGGCCGAGGCGTAGCTGGCAAGGGACAGCGATGGCGCAGGGTGACCACCGGCTGGGCCACCAGCTGGCCCAGCCCAAGGGAGGTAAGACACCCGCCGGGCCCCACGTGCGGCACCAACTCTCCCTGCGCCCGCCGGCCTCCCACCTCCCACCCCTGGCCCTCTTTTACTTACATTTTTAGTAGTTGCTCAGCAGGGAGGGGTGGAAACTTCCAGACATCTCGCCTTCGCTGCAGACAACCTGCAGCACCGTTTGCAGAATGGGACTTTTGGCGGGTTCAGCAGGGCAGAGACAGCCTGGAAAATTCCTATTGGCTTTTGAAAGCCAATAGAATTAGACTCTATTCAAGAGAGTCTATTCTATTGGCTTTCAAAAGCCAATAGAATAAAAGGGAGTAGCATAGCTAAGGAAAAGGGGGAAAAAATGGTGGACTGCATTGTTTGGCGACCCCCGTGAAATGGTCGTTCGACCCCAAATGGGGTCCCGACCCACAGGTTGAGAACCACTGGACTATCGGCTCAAGGTCAGCTGGCTGGCTTTGTGTCTAAGGCAAGACTAAAAGTCACTAGCTCAGTGCTTTAACCATTACACCAAACTGGCTCTCAACTTTGTCTTAGATCTGATTTATAAAATAAATGTATTGTTTATTTTTCAGGAATAGAAAAAAATCTTCTTAGCAACTATTCTTTGTAATCTTGGGATTAATTACAATATTTGTATTCAAGAAATTAATATTAAAAGCATTCTGAAAAGGCTCCCAGCTTTGTGTTAAATAATGTATCATGTGTTAAACAATTGTGTTAAATGATATATCATATAGTCAGCTTACCCTCCCATTTCTCTTCCTCCAAAACCCTTAAATGTGAGAAAAGCCCATAAATTTATCAAATTTATCATATTTATCATTATATATATATATATATATATGTAGGTCTTTGGTTGTTCGGGTTTTCTCCCACGTAAAATTGGAAGTGTCTTGGCGACGTTTCGACGAAGTCCCATTCGTCATCTTCAGGCTGGTGCTTTCATCTTCGTGCCTCGAGCAGCAGTGTGTGGTCTTGGCTGTTTCTTCCTTTTAACTGCCAGTGGAGGTATGAACTGATTGGGTGGGAGCTTGGCTGTGTTCTGATTGGGTGGAGGTGTGTTCTGATTGGTTAGGGGCTTGGCTGTGCTCTGATTGGCTGGGGGTTGGCTGTGCTCTGATTGGCTGGGGGGTTGGCTGTGCTCTGATTGGCTGGGGGAGTGTTCTGTTTGGTTGTGCTCAGGTTAGTCTGAGTTGCAGAGGGATTCAAGATTTTGGGCTGCCCTGCAATTCCTTGGCTTCGCGTTCGTGGTCGTGCTTCCTCTTCATGGAGGGTGTCAGTTTGCTTCATGTATGGATTGGGGGGTTTAAAGTGGCTAATGATGCAGCTGTGGTCTGGCTTCTGGTTTGTGGTCGTGCCTCATAGTCAGTGTGGCTTTGGGTTTGTTTTTTTGCGTGGATGTTTGGTGGTGACCTCCTGTGTGGTTTTTGTGAGTGTGGGTCTGGTATCATTTTTTGTGTTAGGGAGTCGTTTGTCAATGAGGGCGGGTTTCCAAATGGCTGGTAGGCGGGAGGTATCATCTCGCTTGTTCATGCTGTGTTCTGTTTGGTTGTGCTCAGGTTAGTCTGAGTTGCAGAGGGGTTTAAGATTTTGGGCTGCCTTGCTATTTTTTGGCTTCGCGTTCGTGGTCGTGCCTCCTCTTCATGGGGGGTGTCAGTTTGCTTCATGTATGGATTGGAGGGGTTTAAAGTGGCTAATGATGCAGCTGTGGTCTGGCTTCTGGTTTGTGGTCGTGCCTCGTCATCGGTGTGGCTTTGGGTTTGTTTTTTGCGTGGATGTGTGGTGGTGCCCTCCTGTGTGGTTTTTGTGAGTGTGGGTCTGGTATCATTTTTTGTGTTAGGGAGTCGTTTGTCAATAAGGGCGGGTTTCCAAATGGCTGGTAGGCAGGAGGTATCATCTCACTTGTTCATGCTGTGTTGGCGTTTTTCTATCTCGATGGCTTCTCTGATTATTCTGTTATTAAAATGTTCACTTTTGGCAATGGTTCTGGTATTTTTAAAGTCAATTTCATGTCCTGTGGCTTTAGGTGTTGGACCAGGGAAGATGTTGGTTCCTCTTTTTTGACTGAGTTCTTATGTTCTTCAATGCGTGCACTTATTCTTCTGTTGGTTTGTCCGATGTATATGGTGGGACAAGTTGTGCATGGGATTTCGTATACTCCTTGATTTTCT